ATACATCCAAGGCAGCTACAGATTAATTATATCAGAAGATACAACTGTTAATGACGCAGCAGTGTTCAAGCCCTGACTCCAGGTTTTGCATAAATCAGCCTGGAAAATATAAAAAGAAGTTTTCTCAACTGCTCAAACGCACCAAGAGGTTTTCTCTACAGGCCCCTGCTAACCCGGGAGAGAACCTTTCCTCTAACACCAATGCAAAGAACAACTTCAAGGGGTGTGGGAAAAGCATTATTAGTATAACCAGCACCTAATATCGATAAAACCACCTCTCTCTTTAGCTCATGATGCGCCAGAGCAGGAGGCAGCTCCGGACTGGATGGTGCTTAAGCAGCCTGTGAAGAGAGCAGGACCCGGCTGCTGCGGCTGTGTGATGGTGTTAAGCCAGCCTGTGAAGAGAGCAGGCCCCGGCTGCTGCGGCTGGCCAGCAGTCCCTCCTTCGTGGCAGACCTTCCAAGCCAGAGCTACATGAAGGTGAAGGACTGTTTTCTCCCCAGCCTTGCACGGAATACTATTTTATATACTGCCCTGCGCGTGGCTCTCTTCTTGCTAACACTGCTGCATACTGGTCCAACGACGCGAACAAGCTAGCCCTGCTATATAATGACTTACTCTATAATGAGTTGTGGGATTAAACTCCATATTTGAATTATAATAATCAATACTGCATAGCCGGTAAACCCTGGGAAAGTCACTTTCACATGGATCACACGGAAGCTCCACGCATGGATTCCAGCCATTGAAAGCTACCACTTGGTACTGAGGATACTATGGAAAGAAGCCAGGCTATAGCAAGCAGCCCCTCAGCTGCCAAAAAAAAAAATCACAAAATCCCAGTAAGTTTATGAAAGGTAGTTCTGAGATTTTACCAGGGATGCGTGAAAATATCTCGGGGAGGGGAGTGCAGCTCATTGTGCCAGCGAGGGCAAGCGATTCCTCACGGCAGCATCTCACAAGTTCATTTTTCCTTTTGCCTGGCATTCCTCTGAGCTGCTAATTCCAGGTAAAGGGCTGGAGGCAACAGCTGAAAATGACCCACTAAATATATTTTAACTTTTTACTATTCACACGTTTTGCTTTCTCCACTCGGCCCCACAAGGCTCGGCATGATTCGAGCTTCTCCCTGGCCAACCAACTCAGTGTTTCCAACCCAGCGTCCTGCTCAGCTCTCCTGCAGCTGCCATTCCCACACGTGTGACCCTCAGCAGCTGTGCCAATGGGAAACAGAGGAGAAGGATAGGTCTGGGAGGTAGCTTGGAAGGTGAAGGGAAAACGTGAAAATCGCAACAAGCTGCCTGAAAAATCTCATTGTGATAATTTTTGTTAAGTATCCACACATGCACGCATGCACATGCACAACAGTACCTCACAGCGTTAACGCTCGCAAGTGCCTTTTCCCCTTGTTACATGTTCTCCCCGTGAAGTTGAATTTTGCCATTAGACTCATATTTCACAGCTGTACATTTGATACCCATGAAATAAATATGATAAAGTCACTTCAGTGACTCTGCCCTCCACTGGAGCATGCTCCAGAGCCATTTACACCCAAAGTACTTTACAGGAACTTGGTTCCTCACACTCCCGAGAGAGCTGGAGGGATGCAGAAAATTGCAGTGTTTTATGGATCATTTCTATTTTAGGTCCAGTTCTCCATTAGTCCTACACAGTCAAATACAACAGATGGAAAAGTGTTACCTTTAGTACCAACCCCATCTGATTTTTGGTCAGAAGAAGAGACAAGGATATGCTTTCCCTGTCCTGCAGACAGCTGCCACGGCTTTGGGGCACCGAGCTCGGTATGGTCCCATCCTTCACAGTGGGCTGGGTCTGGTAGGTAGATGTGTACAACGCGAGGAGATTCAGTGCATTAAGACAAAACATCTCCAAATGAAGAAGACCTGAAGTGCCCTTCCAAGCCTTGCCTAACAATGACTGGCTCCGAAGGGATGCTGCCAGGCCACTGCTCCTCCTTGTTGCCTGCAGGAATGTAAGCGATGGCAGAGAACAGTCAAGAATTGTCTGCGAAGGACAACTGAAGGGCATCATGTGCTCCTTCCACATGGCCGCCCCACAGGAATTTGCTGGTGAGTTTTCTGGACAGACAGTTCTCTTTGCAAAAGCTCCCTTGTACATGAAGCGGCCGGTTGGCTGTGGCTAGACAACTTGGCATGGCACCACGCTTCCCTCGCTCTGGGCTGCCACCAAACAGCTTCAGACATGCCTTTAGGAAAGACTGACAACTGCTCCTTGTTAAAGTACAGCCGCTACAACGCAAGATGGAGATGCCCCACGTGAGTGGTTCTTGCTGCCGCTCCACGCTTCTGTAGGACAGGGCGCAAGGAGAAGCCTCTCGTTTCTCCGTGCGTCCTCTGCAAGAGCTTCGTGGGGTTCAGTTGACACCATCAACTTGTTCTCAGTCTGCTCTTTCAAGGCTGAGCCCATTTCCTGACCAGAAGCAGTGTTTTCTAAATGCAAAAGCATTAAAAGCTTCCCTTCCCTACATAAACAGGCTGAAAAATGGACAGACAGCAGATTATGCCCAGGCATCACCTGCAAACAACGTGCCTACAGCCCACCTGCCCCTCGTGCTGCATCAGATTCTGCCAACTAAAAGAGATGCAGGGCAATGGCACTGCTGTCGGAGGGGATGCGCCATGGAAAGTCCCCGTGTCCTCAGCACACACCTGCTACCGATGCTCATGTGACGACTGATGCATTTTCGGGTGCAAGAACAGGGTCTTACTGTATACAAATGGAAATACAATCCTGCACTGAGATTTCAGATGAATAAGGGCTGGAGGGAAAACTCCTCCAGCTCCTGCTGCTGAAGCTGTGCTCCAAACACTGTGACAGTGCAAGAGCTAAGGAGAGAAGTCACTCACTTGCAGGGAATTCTGCTGCCACTCCTAAGTTCTTTGTTGGCAGATCTGGTCTGAAAGCAGAAAATGCTAAGTATTTTAGAAGTGGCCTCATGTTTTACAAGCAGTCTAGGCAGACGATGTCTGGCCACAGAGGTCTAGACAGCTCAGGAGTTTCATCCACAGCAGACACATTTCCTCTTGGATTCAGCTCCTGGAACATCCACAGCAAACCAGCTGCCAAGGAACGTGCCTTCAACACTCCATGCTGCTGAAAACGAGCGGAGGACCCTGCGGATGACACGCAATGGCAGACAAGGGCTTGTAAACACCAGCGGCGCTGGCCGTGGCCAGGAGATGTGTGGAAAGATGCCACACGTGGCCAGAGGAAGGCAGGTGGCATGTGCAAAAAGATACGAGGTGGCGCTGAACAGGAAGAACGAGCCCGATTCTCATTTGTGTCCCCCCTGCGCTTGCTTGGTGGTTTTTACACGTACCCAAGACCTGGTCAGTAAGTAAAGTATTTATTTCAGTTATTTATAAACCCACTGATTGGCCACTCAGCTTCAACTGCAGCTTTTTGCCTCCAGAAATCTAGGCTACCAGATCAGAGATTTTTTGCCTTTGCTGCCCCAGGCTCTCCTCGAGGTGACCAGCCGAGACTAAAGGTGCCTCAGAGCCCCCAGCGCATCATCACGAAGGGACCGGAGTCCCCAAAGGGCACGGAGCACACACGCAGCGAACCATCCACACCCTGGCAGCTAACACAACGCAGATTCCGAGAAACCACGTGTCGCCAGCTCCTCTCAGAGCACCGTGCTTGCCCTGCCCTTCCGTGGTACCTGCACCGACCCGACGCCTTTCTGAGCAGTCAGACAGCTCCAAAGGGCTCTGCCAGCCAGCTGTGGAGTCATCGATCCCTCCCACTACCCATCCGCCCTCCCCTGTCTTTCTCTCACCCCTGCAAAATAAAAAAAATCCCACCCCCAAGCCCCTCTGTGATGCTGCTTACCGCTGCACCAGCAAACCCTGAATCGAGCAGGTGGTCGTTTCATCTCGGCGAACAACTGGAAACCCAACGGTTAGAAACCTCTGTCAGGCCACGACAAATTGCAAAATAACAAACAAGCAAACGGGAGGAAATGTGCATATAAAAAAAATTTTTCTCCTGGCATACTGTCAATAAGCTGCAATTTTTCCCTCCGCAGGGCAGGAATTTTAAGTTCTCGAATGATATGATGCTTGGAGATGTCATTTTTTTTTTTCATTAAAAAAACCCCCAACCAACCAAAAATTTCCAACCCCGGACTCACAAACTGATGTTAACAAAACAAGGTAAAAGGACATATCTCCCAACGATGACAACCGAAAAATAAAGGTACACGTCAGCATTTGTAATCAAAAGCTACTACATACTGTACTTGGGAAGTCTTCTGGGAAAAGATCATTGGCATCTAGTGAGGACATCACTAAAAGTCTTGTGCATATGATATGTATGAGACAATGATGCCACTGGAGGGTGGACGGACGGACCCTTAGGAAACTGTCACTCACAAAACTGTTCCATGACAAGAGAAAATAAGAGATGTAAAAAGGACTGGTTTTCCCCATCCCCACCCCCCTCCCCGAGCGTTACAGATTCCTTCTCATTTGTCGGAAACAGCCTCTTCTAGTCTCAGTTTATTCATTATTATTTTTTTTTTTAAAAAAAAAAAGTCTTCAGCTTTTGAAGAAGTCCATCGATTTCTGAGATGCACTTGGTTCCACAGCACCAAAGAGCTTCAGCTCTCTCTCCCCCTTGATGTGCCGACAGGGGCGTTCGGGAAGGGCTGCTGGCTGCAGGACATCCCCCGAGCCACCAGCCCAGGTGAGAAAGAGAAGTGCTTCTCGCGACCTTTCTTTGCATTCATCTTCTTGAAAAAGTCTCATTGCTCCAGAGGTGTCTGGACCCAGCTGCAGCAGCCTTGTGCAAGAGGAAATAGATGAAGCTGCTCTTTTCTCTTCCTTTGGAGACTCCCATTGGTCTTGGAGCCCTTTTCAAGAATGCAATTGCTTTATTATTTAAAAATATTTCATAGTTAGTTTTGTTTGTGTTTTTTTTCAAAATAGTTGTCCTTTTTTTTTTTTTTTAATGTGTTCCCTTTTTCCATTGCTTAAATTCTAGAAGCTCTTGGCGACTTCTCATTACCGATGGCAGGGCGTTTCTTCCTGGTGCCATGATCCTCAGCGCAGCTGCCTGTCTCTGGTCCACGCAGGACACTCAAGAACTGGAGCTCGGACATACAGGGGCAAAGGGGAGCAGGGCCTCGAGGAAGAGGAGTAGGAGGACACGTAGCTATCAAACCTCCACAGACTGAATTTGGTTCATCTGTGCTCTCATCACCTGGATACTGTTCAGAATTTTCTTCTGGTGTCCTGCTAAAGTGACCCCAACTCGCAGAATGTCCCTTTGGGAGGAAAAGAAACAAAGGCCACATCAACAGCAGAAGACATTTTTCTCACAGCAGAGCAAGCTCCAGGAGGAGCATTCCCCCAGAGTGTGGTGTGCTGGGAGTGGAAACCTCCGCTGATTTATTCTATAAATGCAACAAATGCATGCAAGCCTGGTGAAACCTCTACTCCTCTTTGACTCTTCCTGGCTTATCCCCCCAGTTTTGGCATTTGCTGCCCACCTGCATCACCTCCAGAGTTCTGCAACCTCAACAGAGTGTGGGAAACCAAATACCACAGGCTCCGCTCACTGCTGGCAAGTGAATTTTCCCGAGGTTTTTCTACCCTTTTATCATTTTGTTCCTTTCTCTGCATGTTTTGTGACATGGTAACCCATTTTTTTCCAGCCCTGGAGACATGTAAACAGGGGGTGCTACGCCCTCCTCAGTGTGAATCTCACACCCCCGTGCAGAAGATGCTTGCTCTTGGTACTTCTGCTTTGTTCTGATGAGGCCATCAAGTGATAAACTTTCGCTACTTATCCTCTTTTCTAAATCACAGCAGTCTAATTTTTGCACTGCTTCTATGTTTTATAGATATTAGGCATCTGGGAAAAATAAAAGCCATGCCAAGAGCATGAGTGTAACTCTGCATTAGTCCTTCCTGTGATCACTCCAGCTGAGTTTGCTACTCATGTTCCTCTTGGTGGATAAATCTCAGTCATGAAACTTTCGCTACTTATCCTCTTTTCTAAATCACAGCAGTCTAATTTTTGCACTGCTTCTATGTTTTATAGATATTAGGCATCTGGGAAAAATAAAAGCCATGCCAAGAGCATGAGTGTAACTCTGCATTAGTCCTTCCTGTGATCACTCCAGCTGAGTTTGCTACTCATGTTCCTCTTGGTGGATAAATCTCAGTCATGAGTTCTCTAAGGATTTTCAGTTGCCTTTTTGACTTCTTTTGAACATTAGGAACAGGCGTTTAGGAGGAAGTGTGGCAAAACCCTTGCCTGTTTTAAGTAGAAGTCAATGGACAAAGGAAGGTAAACAGGGGCTTCGAGAAAAGGGGGACAAAACCCTCTAGCACGAGTGGCACATGAGCCTGTGTTTGCTTTAGCGTTTGCTTTAGACCTTGTCTCTTTGTTCAAACAAAAGGAGCGTGAAGAAGGAACGCTGGCGCCCAGGACAGTGCTCTTCACAGCGACTGCTTTTTGTGCTGCCAGGACTTTCCGCTCCCTCCTCTGGCCCAGCCAGATGTGCTGAGCTGGGGAGCCTCTTTCTGTTGTACAAAACCAGCCTGGAGCGTGCCAAAACCACCCCCAGGACCTTGGGGTTGTACCAAAGAGACACCAAAACAGTCAGAACCGCCACGGGAATTTCCTGGGGCGAATAAGAATGAAAAGCCAGAAAGGTCAGTTTGGCTGTGTTTGCGTGATCGGATTCTGATTCATCGGTGGATTTCAAGTCTGGAATCAGGCACCAAATCCCCAAACCCTTCTGGTTACCAGGCACAGAGACGTCGTAGCACTTACAGATGGCTTTAATGCTTGGCGCTTTCTTAGGCAGGGTTTCTAAAGCTAACTGCAGCCTACCACAAATCTTTCACCAGAGGCATCAAAGTCTCAGCCAGCCCCAAGGGATTTCAAAACCCACCACAAATGGATTTCAGCTGCCTGCTTTCTCTGGAGAACTAGCTAAGATTTTACCACCGAGGGATGTTTTTAGTGGATGCAGGACAATTGAGAACAAACTCAAAACCATCTGGACTTTAAGAGGTCTTTCTTAGGCAGAGATTTGTTTGCGGCGTGCTTGTCTCCAGCGCCCATGCACCATACATCCGAGAGGACTGCAGAGCCTAAAAATGCTCTCAAGGGGCTGAAGAATTGCCTGACACTGGCCTGAAATCTCCACTTGCTCCACGCTGGGGTTTTGGAGACTCTTGCGAGGGTTTTCTTTTTCACAGTAGGGCCGTGCAGTGTGATAAGGGTGGAAACGAATTCTGCAGAGTAACAGACAGACACACAGTCTGGAGACAAGACAGAGCCTGCAGAACAGAAGTTCTGCAGAAATTCATAGACTTAAAAGTGGGTCCACAAACCAACAAATTCTATAAATGTGTGTGGGTTTGTTTTTTTTTTCTATAAAAAACTACATCATATGAAAATAAGAGCTAATTCAATATGGACAAATTATTTTTAAGCTACTGAGACTTTTCTTTGTTTTTTGGGACCAGAAGCCTGGGCACTTACTCTACAGTCATCTGAGATACTACGTCAAAGGTGGTGAAACCAGCACTGGCAAAGCTCTCCTTGTACTGGCTCATCTTGATGGCATCCAGCCATTCGTCCACAGTGTTGAAGCTCGTATAATCCGGGATTGTGCGGTCAAGTAGGGGGAGGTTCATCCTGAAACACAGAAATGGGGAATGAGCAGAACAAACACCAGCGAGCACGTGTATTTCTGCTCTCCCCATCAGCTGGAGGTACCGGGACCAGTATCACTGACGTCGCCTGCACTGCGCCGTACGAAGAAATGCCACCCAGCAAGCACTCCATTCAACCGAGGGAGGGATTGTGCTGAGCGTCAGAGAAGTCCTTCCTGGACCAGTTCATACAGGAGAGACAGGAGCCATGAAAGGCAATGACAATGGGATGCAGTTCTAAAATCCTGGCTGTCCTTTCTCATAAAGGGGCCAGCACTTCCCTCAAGCTGGTGTATCCCTACCCAGCCCATCATCATCATCATAAGGCTTTATTTGCCTCCACTGCAGGAGAGACTGGACTACCAAAGCAACCACAGCCATCCAGCAACCACGTGTACATGAAGCCAAGCGGCTCTTCTAACTGCAGAGCAGTTCAACGAGCTGTCTGTGTCAACCTCATCTAACCTGTCCAGGTGACTTTGACATCTTTTAATCCACACAGGCCAAGCTGCCTCTACAACAACTACCCTAGAGAGATGCGAGGATGGTGCCCACCAGGACACAAAGGTCAGGAGATCTGCAAATAGAAGCCAAAGGGCAAGAGGAAGGCAGAGGTACATACCCAGAGGAGAGAGGTGCCATGGCTTTCAGGCTGTTTGGATTTCGGATCATTTTATCTAAGGTGTTGACAATTTGCCCAAACTTGGGTCTGTGGTTTCGATCCTTCTGCCAACAGTCAAGCATTAGCTGGTGCAGTGCATTGGGACAATCCATAGGCGGTGGCAGCCGATAGTCCTGCTCGATAGCATTTATCACCTGCAAGAGGAAAAAAAAAAAGAGATCAAAGCAGGTGCAATAAAACCTATTTCATTCATAAAGTTCCTCTTGGATCCTGAAGGTGAGTGGCATGGCCAGCTAGACTGCAGTGGGGCTGCTCTGCCTGCACTTACCTGCTGCCTGTCATCTTGGCCACCACCATGCACCACTAACTCCTGGCCCTCGTCCTGCTGTCCTGTGAGGTGATGCCTACATCCCGATAGCTAGAGGATCTTTGCCTACCTTCTTGGCTTTGTGCATCCTACAGCCGTACACACAGCACAGGCACTGAAAGGGGAGCAGAAGGAGCCTTCGATGCTAGAAACAGGCACGTGCGTGGCAACAGAGACCAGAAGTGAGGATACAGCAGTAACTGAAATCAGGGGCAGCATTTTGAAATGACCAGCTCTGCACAGGGACGATAAAAAAGGGGAGGGAGATTAACAGAACCTCCCTTAGGGATCCAGAGGAAGGACCTTGAAGTCTCTGGCTATCCTCACCGCATGAGGCTGCCACAGTTTGTCCAGCTGCATCTTGCGTACTTCCAAGGGTAGAAATCTGCCTGCCGGGCTTCCCCGGGGCTGCACCACCCTCCTGGGGAAGGAGGAGCCATACCCACGCAGCAGCACGGTGAATACATTCTTGAGCAGGAAGACGACACAGAGAAAGCTGAGGATACTGCAACGGGGACTGGGAGAGCAGCAGGGAAGGGTTGGCCAAGAGGAGACACCGGAGGTGCTGTGGCAGTAGGAGAAGGCTGCTGCTCCAAGGGAGGGTGGGTGGCAGGTCCGTGCCAAGTAATCCAGGGTGTGAGTTGGAGCACCTGGCAGGGTTTAAGATGGACTGTGGCTGCAGGTGAAGAATGGATTGGGAGGGTGCTCCAGCCACTGAGGTGCATGGCCATAGGCTGGCTGACCTGAGGCAGATGGGGACTGGCATTGCTGTTGCCCAAATGCACCAGATGGAGGGAGTCCTCTCTCCCCTCTGCTCCCCTGGCTGTATCACTGCCTGTGAAGGTCTGACCTGAGGCACCGCTGCTGTGCTTTGTGCAAGCTCTTGGCTCCCATCCAGGGACTCTCCCAAGAGGTGGAAGCCATCCCCTCTCCCAGCTCTCCGGATGGCAGGTCTATCTGAGATGGAGGGGAGGTGAAGCAGGGCTGGGGAGGGTCATCACGCAAGCGTCAAGTGCTCGTCTCCGGTGCGAACCGAAAGGTTTCCTGACAAGCCGCCCGCCTCGCTGCCAGCAGACACATCCCGCGAGGCGGCACAAGCGGCACTCTCCATCTCCTCCTTCTCCCCCAGCCTCCCCAGGCGCTCACACCCTGGGGTCAGGAGGCTAATCGGCAGCAAATATCTGCCACACGCTCGTTCGCAGGGAGGACCAGCTGCAATTAAGCGGTGACAGCTTCTGGGGCGCAATGTCCTGCGGCAGAAGGGGAAGAAGAAGCTGGGGACAGGCACGGGCTGTGCCGAGCAGACGGGCACGGGCTCAGCCATCCCCACCGGCTGAGTCGGTTCTGCCCCAGCACGGGGGTTGCAGCAAGAGAAACCCTTGAGGGAAGAAGTTGTGGGGAGCAGGACAAGAGAGAGGGCTGGCAGAGGGCTATGCCTACAGAAGGATGCTGAGGCAGGGAGAAGGACAGTGACACCTGGCTGCAGGAAATGCTTGAAACCGTAGGCAATAACGAAGCCTTAATGGAAGGGAATTGTCCTTTTTGAGAAAGACATACCCCTAACTGCCTTCCCTTTGGCTCAAACAACTGATGCAAAGTCTTTCTTTTGTCTGGGGCAGGACCATGAACGGTCCGAAGTGTTAAGATATTTGTATCTGCTCCAAGAACTGGGAACTCAATTCCCCATGAGGCACTAGGGAGGAGGTTGTCCCACTCTGGAGAAACCTGATGTGGCATGGAGGGAGTCATATGGAAAAAAGTATGATTTGCCATTGGAATGGGAGGAGTTGCAGGAGTCAGGCAGGAGCTTTGTCCTCACTCTGTCCCCGAAAGGCAGGGTGTTTACAGGAGCCCACAGGATGATGGAGATGGATGGAGGTGGCAGTCTGAAGGCTTCCAAGACTGCCCAGAGGCAGCTCTAAAACAAGCTGGAAGCCAGGCAGACGCTGTAACATGCAGGTTTGCAAACCCTAGGCTTGGAGCAGAGGAGGAAGAAGAAGCCTTCTGCGCACCAAGGATCTACCCAGAACCTTGGTGTTAGATCCTGAGGGTTCAGGAGGCAAAGACTGCATGAAGAAGGGCAGCTCTTGAAGAGAGAAAATGTTACAAGAGACCTGGGAGCCCCACACCAAAGGTGTTTTTTGGACACCCACGTGCAGGTGTAGCACTCTGCATGGCACTCACTGTCACTGGACAGATGGGCTATGATCACCCAGATATCATGATGGTCGAGAGAGACAGGGAGAATGGCCGTGCTGTGGTGAAGGTGTGGATGGCAGCCAGGGGCCATCCTTGCATGGAAGCAAGGATCCAACTGCCTGCGTCCCAGGGAGCAAGGAGGGGACAGAACAGTTCCACCTGAATTACAGAAGAGTCATAAAGTATTTAAAATTAAGCATGTTCTGAAATACCTTGTGGCTTTGGCTTCTACCTGCGTACAAGTTGCCTGGCTTAGACATCACAGTCCAAGCTTGCCATCAAAGATTTAATGGCCATCTAGTGGAAGATGTCCTTGACCATGACAGGGAGGTTGGACTAGATGATCTTCAAAGGTTGCTTCCAACCCAAACCATTCTATGGCTCTATAACGGACTTTCACCAAATGCCTGTGGTCTCCTGCAGATGAAGATCTGCCTGCTGCTCCAGGAGGAGCTGCTCTCAGGTCAGCGGCAGCATTTCGTTTTCCACCCACCTGCCTCCCTTTCATCTTGGGCATCTATCACCGCTGAGGGTGCTCACAGTAACCCTGTCCTGCTGCAATGGGTGCTATACAGTCCCTAACCTCTGCCACAGCTGCACAACGAGACCAGAACAAAAGCCACAGTTATCCCCATCACTTCTTCCAAAGGTGTTGACTTTGGACACATCTCCCACGACACAGAAGGCTCCGGACATGCCACAGGCTGGGTCTAGCTGTAGCCATGCTTTGGCCTTGTCGTGCATCCAATTTCAGTGTTTCTGCTCCTTGTTTCTTAACAACTCACATCTTGGTTGGTCATATCCCAGTAAGGCCGCTCGCCGTACGACATCACCTCCCACATGACTATGCCGTAGCTCCACACGTCACTGGCCGATGTGAATTTTCGGTACTGAATTGCCTCGGGTGCTGTCCACCGAATTGGGATCTTCCCACCCTGCAGAAAGAAAGGGAGAGGATGGTAAGAGAAAGAGCAAGAGCAACTGAAAAGGATGAGCATCCAAACTATTTCCCTCCAACATGCTGGTAAAATCCTAGCAGGAGGGGATCACAAAGCTATCCCTGTTAGTTACTACAGTGTTACTACATCAGGACAGCTGTAACTTGTCTAAACAAGTCTGGGAAACCTTCGAGGATGATGATTCCCCCCATTTTCCTGGTGACCTGTCTCCAGGGCTGTACCACCTTCTTGGAGAAGAAGCTTTGCCTGCAAGGTCAAATACAGGTGTCCCCTCAGCCTCCTCTTCTTCATACTAAACAAGCCTACTGCCATAGCAGTCTTTGACATGACAAAATGCTGGGTCTTTTGTAAAAAAAATGAATGGCTATGAACGTAGAATCTCCCTCCATCCTTTTCCTGTCACCAAGCTATCTCTGGAGCCCAACAAAAGGAATTAGAACTCCATCCTCTTCAGCTTTCTACATCTGTAGGCTCTTCGAAGTCAGTGAAATATCATAGTCCTCGTGTGTCCGTCTGTCGATACATACAGGATGCAGCAGTTTTTTGATCCTGCCCACTCCTGGAGACGGAGGCAGAGTGAAGATCTTTGCTAGTACGGCATGCTTGGTCAGTGGTGGGAAACTGGATGGACTGGGTGGGACCTGGGGTCTCTGCCATCACGCTGGGCAGCAGCAGCTCTGGAGAAGGACTCTCCACTCCCATAGAAGAGTTGAGCGCAACAGCAGCGAACACAGCCTGGGGATTGCAACGCTCTGCTTAAGCCCTTGCAGCCTACTGGTTTTGCACCAGGGTCTTTGGACTTGAGCCATTCACAGCCCAGGGGACCTTCTGAAGGCAATATCTTCCCCTGTGCTGAAAAATAAGCAAACTGTCTGCGTTTTGCGGCTGTGAGAAGATTATGGAACACTGTATTTTTTTCATTATTCTAGCATGTATGGGGTCTGAGTCCCATTAAGTCCTAGGAGACCCTTAATAAGACATGGTAGTTATTCACTGAAAAAATATAATGTTCCTTAATCTTCTCACAGCCACAAACCTCAGAAAAAATATTTTTCTTCCACAAGAGGGAGAGACCAGACATTCCATACCAAACATGATGTCCTCTCCATCAGGCATACATCTTAACAGAGCTCCTGACAAGCAGTGGAGTTTTAAAATGTCTAAAAAAAAGAAGTCCTAAAGCAGAAAATTACAGGTGAGACCTCCCACCTCTCTGGTGATCTGACCCAAAGCTTCATCACCTTGTTGGAGAAGGAGATTTTCCTAAGGTCCAGCATGAATCTCCCCAAGCCATCGCTTGTGGTTGTTGCCCATCTATAGACTCAAGGTCTCTGGGATAATTATAATAAACAACACTTGTGCATCTTGGGACATCTGAGGATGATGCATTTTGGAAAGGAAAATACTGTTACTTGTGGTACTCTGTTACAGTAGGTGCACATGTTGTATCATTATAGATAATATAGGTTCTGCTACAGTGCCCACAGTTCAAGATGAATAAATTAGAGATGACGGAGAGAAAAGCTACAGGCACAATAATAGGAATAGAAAAGAGCAGTAAACACCAGACGTTTCCATGTATTTAGCTTAACAAAGGGAACGTTAATTGGATGTAAGCATCATGCTTTGAAAAAATAAATGTTGCTAGTGTTTCTAAAAGCCATAGGAAAACTGTGTACAACGGAACGGTCGATGTTTGAAGCTACCCAACTTCAGATGAGAATAAAACTGTGCATTTTTAGGTGTTTGGTATTCAACTACTGCTCCAGTTCACTAAGAGCTATGCCAGACAGCTCATCACTGGCAGCTTCAAAAGGTCTGGGAGAGATGATTTCCTACAGATCACGCCCTAGCTCTATCAACACTTATTTCCAAGAAGTCCTGTCCGTTGTATGTAGGTATTGATCCTGCAGCATCACGGCAGAGACATGCTGTATGCCTTCGCAAACAACGGTATTTATGAGAATTCCTTGCTGAAATCTTACTGAACAGCCATAAAACCTTCAAATTCTCCTTTGGCTCAGGTGCACATTCTGTAGCCTGAGACAGGCCACGAGCCCTCGACGGCACCAGCGTCACTGGGACTGCAGTGTCCTGGGAAGCTGCTGGGTGACCATGAAGCCATTTCTGGGAATGTTTCTCTAATTTGAGACTGGAAAACCAGTAGCCAGTACTGCAGGGCTTTGCCCAGCATGCATCCACGCTTCAGTCTGTTGTTCCTGGGGCTGAGCCCATGATACGGCATGAAAAAGGCTCATGACCTCCCAGACAGCACAACTGGACACTGATGGGGAAAAAAACCCCAGACCTTGGAGGACCCCCAGCTGGACCAGTCTGGGCAGGTCGAACGCTTCATCCCAAGTAATGGATTTGCTGGGGATGTGTATGTTTGCAGCCCTGTCTAGATGGCTCAGTTATCCACAGGAATGACTACAGACACCAACAATAACCAGCTGGACAGGACCTTGCAAGAGAAAAATCTTCCTTCATTCATTTTCACTGGTCCTTACCACCTGGCACCTCATTCCCATTGTCGGCAGCCTGAAAAAGTGCTCTCCATGCCAAGGCGGGGGTCTCCCCCTTTCCCCTAACTCCTTCCTTCACCGCCCATCCCTCCCGCTCTGCAAGAGCAGCTTTACCAGTGCGCTGGTGTAGGTGGGATCAGAGGTGTCGTCCTCCAGGAAACGGGAGAGGCCGAAGTCAGACACTTTGCAGACCA